TCAAGCATTTTTTAAATCTTTTTCAAATGAAGCAGTCTTTTAAAACCCAGTAAATAAAAAAATTACAATTTTATTTGAAAAATAGATTTTAAATTTTTAAATTGCTAACACTTTCGATACACATAGTAAATCTATCAGAACAATAAAGTAATTTTAATGAAGACAGTTGCCGTGTTACAGGCATCCTATTGATTTCTGCATTTTGTTTTGGTTTTGTGGTATTGAGAATATTCTGATCCAGACAGATTACTAATCATAAATGGTATGAACTTTTACATCTCACTTGGCCGTCTTACACCATTTTGAGTTCATTAATGGAAAGTGGAATAGCTGGACTTATATCTTCAAAGCTAAAACCATTAGAATAACTAAAAACTGCTCACATTACTTGAGAGATTCTCATTGTTTGGTTAAAACATTTTTCTCAAAGTTGTCTTTTTAATACCGTTCTTCAACCTTTTCAAAACAAATGTATGATACGATGTTATCTGCTATCTAGTTCAGATGTTCACTTGACATTTCAATTAGTCGAATTAATATAATTCAGCATAATTAGCTAAAACTTTATTTCAACTTTGTTGCTGGACATTTAGCTGCAGTTGTGAGCATGATTATATCTCAAATCTGTATAAAAGTACACTTGATATATAAACCAGTACAAGCTTTTTATTTTTGGTTGCTAGATTACTAATGCAATTTCTTTATAAGCAAACAAATTTCTAAAAGGTGATTTCCATGTTGATTTAAAATATTAGCACTGTTACCTGTTTTCATTGCCATTGACTGGTATGTTCTGTTTACTGCTTGTGCCAATCCAAAGTACCTGAGTTTGTGGGCCTTTTAATTACATGTGCTGTGGTGCCAATGTACCCATTTGTACAATTATCCTGGTTAAATATACAAAGATATATATTTTTAAATGACCACTGCCGAGCTACGGACTCCAGTTAATATCATAGGTATTTATTTATTAATTTATGTGTGTGTGTGTGTATAAATGTATACATGTGAATATGGAAATCTATCTTTTTAATCTATCTACCTATTGATTGATGGAAAAGGAAGAAGAGGAGGAGGAGGAAGACTAGGAGATGGAAAGAAAGTGTTTTTGATCTGGTAACAGAATTTAATAATTTGAGAATCATTAGTATAAAAAATAATTTTATAAGACACACTTTAGTATGTTTTTATTACCTTTTTTTATTGTTCCAAAATATGGACATAATGCGTATGAACTAAGTTTTTTACAGAACCTCTGAAGAATTGCAGTTATAACTCAATGGAACAGTTTGAAAAATAATGGTTTAGCTGAAGGCCTTTATTTCTTTTAAAATGCAAATATCTCTACTTTCATCTGCAATCAGTCATTTATGCATTAATGTGAATAAATTTATTAGACATCTTTCTGAAGCTTAGATTTAATTCAGAAGAGGAGGAAGCAAAGATGAACTCAGCAACTGAAAGAAATGGGAAAGATATGACTTAATTAAGGCTGAGAGCACTGGAGATCTACTTGGCCTACCTCACAATTTGCTTAAAGACCATGCTGTCCATATATGATACATTTATTTGTGCTAAGAAAGAAAAGAAAGAATGAGAGAGAGAAAGAAAGAAAGAAAGAACACAAAAGACAAATGCACAGAGAAAACATCCACTGAATTAGATGAGTATAAGTGTGAATGTTTCAGAACTGCATGCAACTGTTTTAGACTATTTTGCTGGAACAACAATGTAATTAAATGAATTACTTATAATTTTGGTCAACTCAAATTAAATCGACTATAAAATTTCCAATCAATAAATTTATTAATCGAAGATTCTGATCATACGCTGTGTCCTCAAAGATTACAAGCAAATTTTTTTGTACAGGAGTCCCAGATCATGTACAGCACAATATAAATGAGAATTTAATGTTCCAAACCTAATCCTGTACCTTTGGTCTATGACTTTTTAAATTTAAAAAAAAAAAAAACTTGTAAACTTTTTTCTTAATAAAAATCTTTCTACTACTAAATAAAATAATTTATCTTTATTATAAAAGTCTAGTTATGTATGTTTCTCCCATTCCTCCCCAATCAAAAGCTTTCTAAAGTTTATAGAAATAAGCATCCATTCCAGTAAAGTAAAAAATTTAAACTTCTGAGTTTTTTATGGAGGCATGTTATAAAAATTGGTTGTTAATATTTTGAGAAATTGCTTCCTGAAAAGAAGAAATTTACATTATTCAATTTTTCATTTCTTCACTTATATATTTTCTAAAAGTGAAAGATATTAATTTAAATCTGTGTTAAAGATACATGTTGGACTAGAATTACATTTCCCATATTTCATTCTAAGTCAATATTTGCAATAATTTTGTGTAAATTTGAAAATATATTTAGATTTAAAATACTGATTGACTCACATTAATACTATTGTTTTTCCTTCAAGAAATTAAAAACAAAATCAAATAATAGAAATATTTACCATTTAGGAAAGGGATACATGCAGATATTTAAATAGTAAATTTCATTCTTCATTATCAAGTACGACATTTAAGAATTAACAGAATAAATTTGAAATCAAAACTTAGAAGCATTTTGAGATAATTTTGGCTACTGTGTTGCAAAATATATCAAAATAAAAACACTTTCTTCATAAATTTAATTAAAAGGAAAACCTGATTAATATACGAAAGTCTATTTTTTTTATATTCAGCTGATAAGATCATTTTTAGTAATGAAATTACACTTATTTGAACTAAAACTAAACGCAAACTACAAGCATAGTCAGATAAGAGAGGTGGGGGAAAAAGTTGAGCCAAATTGGTTATAAACATGCTTCTGTTCTTGCTCACACAATGACCTTTAAAAGCTCTAATTTCTATTGTTTTTCTCTGTCTTTGTACTTAGAAAAAGTACTCCTAAGTCACAAACCATGTAGGTTCCCACTTTCTTCTTTCCCAAGTTTATGGAAACTGGGTCCTAATAGTTTTATAGTAAAAAACAAAAGGATAGAATGGGAAGACAAACTGTTTCCTATAATTGCGAGCACTGAAAGTCTTTGACAAAACTTCAGGCTGATTTGTCTGTGCCTTACTTCAAATGCATATTCCTGAAAAAAGCATACAAAGGGGAAGAGTGAGGCCAATAAATGGCATGCCTGCAGTAGCTCAGTAGGGAGTGTACATACACTTGTCCTGGTGGAGTATAGCTACGAGTCAGAAATTTTAACAGCTCAGTAGGTGAATACAGTTGGTACTTGAGCACTTAGAATCAATTCAGATACATATCTGTAATATCTACATGTAAAAGACATGGCATATATTTGGTATGTACTGACCAAATATAAAAATAATCCTGGAAATTATTATATATATAAATCTTTTTTATCGTATGGATTATATTACTATGTTATATATACTCATTGCTTCCTTAGGGAGAGAATATTTAAGTTTCATCTTAGTATGGCCCTTAAACTAATTTTAATACTTAGATTTTTTTGTTGTTGTTAATTTTCTTAGAAATCTACGGTTACATTTAAATATAAATACAATATTAATAATAACTCTAGAAATTAATAATTATACCTAAGTCCCTTCATTTTAAATTCATAGAACATGAACCTACTCATTTTTTCTATGTTTTTCTCCTTCAAAAAAACATTTCCTTCATGTTTTCACAGCTATAATGCTTATAATAAAGCATTTTAATTAATTTTGTATAAATTTACTTGTATTAAATTACATGACTCTTCTGGATTTACCTCTTTAGGATTACCTATACATTTAAGGGGCATCAAAATCTACCATTGACAGGTTTTAATAAGCACTTCTTTCAAGGGGATACCTAATACTTTCTCCAACAATCTCTGTCACCCTTATAGTCACCAATTCTATATAACAGAAGTCACTGCTTGCTAAATGAAACTTGAATCAGATATCTGAAGACACCAAAACATAACACTATTTCCTATCACCATCAAGCCTATCAACCATCTTTACACTTTATTAATTAAATAATTAAATATATATGTGTGTGTGTGTGTGTTTGTGTGTGTCTGTGTGTATGTGTGCGTGTGTGTGTGTGTGTGTATATATATATATATATATTCATTTATTTTATTAGGTCCATAAGCCTGTAACACCTTTATCATCTGTCTTTGATATACTGAGTTGAGCCAGTATGTTTTCTTAGACATTAGAATGCCATTTATGGTATTAGGTAGAATCTAGAAGGTCAAGAAATACTATGGATAATATACATAAATTATTCAGGCATGATCAATTATTAGAATACTACCAATTTAATATTTTTGTTTATCAAATACATCAATAAGAATTAGTTGTCATGTCCCAGTGTGAAGTATATTACCATGGAGATAAAAATTCTGATCCACAGCTATTCTATCCTATTTTGTTAGTCTTTTGTCCTCTGTTGCCCAGGTTTCCTATTTGTTGTTATTAAATTTCTGAAAAAATAGCAGCATATAACTAAAATTTATTGTGGGATATTTAAAAATGCCATAATAAATGGTACTTAGAACAATAGCCCATTATAAAATAGCTTTAATGTCATAGCCTGACTGAGAAAGGCAAAGAATAAAAAATCTTGCTAAACAAACTTAAAAAAGCCTTAACTAGGCCCTTGTTACAGCAACTCAAATATCCTGACCATGACAATCACAGTCCAGAATTTAATGTACAATATATATTATTCTCTAAATACCCATGTAAATACATAATTACTTATGTATTTATTTTCTGTGTGAAGATATGTATCCAAAGAAGAATAAAGGAGAAAAAGATCCATGAAAAATATAGCTAGTTTACACATGATTTTAGAATCATGTGTTATGATATAACTTAATCATACATATGTATTTGATATTATAAAAAATACTGTATAAGTATATAAACTATAGCGTAATGGAAAATTTTAATTTTAATGTAGCCTTCAAAAGCAGATTAAGAGCAAAAGCAGATTGAGAGCAATTTAACAAACAAACATTAGAAAACTTACCTTGACTTGCAAATTTTAACTCTTTGGCATCTGTGAGCGTGGTCCTTTTGTCAGACCCTTTTTTCTCTATCCGGCGATGGCTTCGTCTTTTCTTTGACTCTCCCCAAAGGTTGGATCCTCCATGCATGCTAGGTATGTTCAAAATAGCAATTCCTTCCAGAGAGATGTTTATTAAGTCTATCTGTACTCCATCACACTAATCAATAAAAAGAAAAGAACAAACAGTAAGATATCTTCTTTATTTCTCTTATTTCTTCTTTTGCATTTCCTGATATTTTAATAAGAGATTTTAAATCCATAATCTTGCCATTTTTAAATACATTTTTCAAAAGCAAAAGTAGTTACAGTGAATGTCAATATAAAAAATAAAGCAGCCACTAACATTAACTAGTTATCGTTCATAGTCTTTAAAAATGATCGAATTAAATCATCAGTCTCTTTGTTTACAAAAAACCTTTGGGAAGGAGACATGTTAGTGTCTGAATATATAACCAGTTATAAATTTCCATTGTGTCACAAAGAGGCTGATTCTGGGATGTTTGGTCAAATTTTAGGCAGAAATTTTAACGATCACCTCCTATTTAGAACACATTGCAAGGCACTATTGGGGGAAAGTGAAAAAACAGAATTCATAATTCATGGCCTCACTTTTTGAGTCAGAGAAAGAAGTGGCTTAAGAGACTTTGAAAAAAAATACAAAGTGCAAAACAGCAATGCAAGAGCTCTGAATTACATTGGAGCGGCTAAGGATAGTTTATTGGTCTAGATTAAGTTCCAAACACAGTACAAAGGGCAATGAGCAGCACAGTTGTCTAAATGAACATGGAGGACCAGGCAGGCTGAGTGCGGAAAATGCCAAGAGTAACGGTAAACACAACCTCCAACTCATCATTACTTTATAGCTGCTATGACACTACATTGAAAAATAAAAACCATTAGTTAGGCAGATATTTGTTTGCCTGGTGACAAAGAAGTGTTTTGATTTTGAAAAATATGGAACTTGCTAACAGACTATGCTTTGTGATATTCAGTTTGGTCACTTTTTAAATATTTTGAATATTCTGTTTATTTCTACTGATGGACGTGTGGCAAGTGACAAGGCTATACAGTATTTTTAGAATTATTTATTTATTCATTTGCTTTGAGTTTTCTAAAATTGTAGTAATTATAAATATACACCAGATATTGTTCTCTCATGTTCAGTTATAAGTCATTGTAAGAAAAGATGTAAATATATAACATTTTTTTTAATAAAAAACTTTGTTAGGGATATGCATTTCATAATTGAGGTATATCTGCAGTGGGATTATTTTATTTGCCATGTTTTTTTTATAGAAAAAAACATAGACAGTAACTTCATTCATCATTCTCTTTCACGTGACAATTATGATTTTTTGAACCAAGAAGAGATAATGCTCCACTAAAATGATAAAAACAGAAAACAAACAGAAAATCTCTCTTTTTCCACATTTGCCTCATCACACTGAACCTAATTCTGCATCTTGTTTACTGAAATACAAAAACTGTGAAATAAAGAAACACATCTTGAGCCTACTTGGCAGGGCTAGAAACCAATTCTAGAGAGATGCCAAGTTTTCATTCAATTTGTTTCAATGAGGGTGAAACCAAGGTCTGGATGATGTCCCCCCCACCCACCACCCCTTTTAGAAACAACTGACTTTTTTTTCTTCCTTTTCATGTATTAAATTAAGATGATTTCTTTTTACTAAAGAATTCTACTCATGTGTATACTCACTTACTGCTATATATTCTAGATAAACAGATATTAATTTCATAATTAAAAGTAATCTTGTGTAAATACCCTGCAGGCCTCAATGAATCAAACACATACTGTGTGTCAGGCCTCCCACTGTCTTCAAGTGGAATGTACTGGCTGGATAATTAGATAGTACATATTTTTTAACCTTATTTGCATGCATATTATATCTTTTGCACACTGACAAGCAGCAGTAACAACAAAAGTCAGATTACCACAGGGAATTCCCACAAAGAAGTCTTCATTCCTTATAATTTGCAGCCTAAATTAAAATAATTTGATCTTTGACAAGGATGAAATGTCAAGCAGAAGGGGGTCCTCTACAAGCCATGGCCTGTGGCTTCTGAAATCTGCCTAATTTATGTCAGTCACTTCTTAATACATATTTAAGTATTACACGAAAAATATGATAAATATGCAATCTGACACCTTTGGTATTTCCCTGCTGTTAATTTATAAAGGTCTGGTTTCCCCTCCAAACTGACTAAAATCATTTAAATAACAGAAGAATTGCGAAATAAGCTGGAGTTGGGGCCTGGCTTCCATTTTCACTCAATATTGAACACAGCAGGTAGTACGCTAAGACAATTATTTGACTAGGCCTTAGAATCCCACTGTGACAAGTTACTTTCAGAATTAGGAAAGTAGTATTCCTTTGTTCATCTGCAGAAAAGGAGAGCATGTTGCAAACAGGCTTTTTTTTTTTTTTTTAATTGAACTAGGGGAGTTACATGTGACAATTGAAAAACATCATTGTATACTATTATTCATGTTTTTACTCTTCAGAGTCTTGTCACGTGTCATTTTAAGAAAACAAAGTGGCTCTTTGAAAAGTAAAAAAAAATATTGTTAAGGAGTGCCAATAAAGAAAGTCTGAAAAACACTGAGGTTTCTATGAGAGCAGGACAACGTACTTACATAAATTGCCATTTATTAATTATTTGTTTCCACTAGTTCTTGACCCCAGGCTACCTTCCTCTGTTTGCTTTAACATTATGTTCATCAGTCTGGAAAATTCCAGTGCTAGTTCTGATGGAGACCAGGAATTGTAGCACACCAATTGAGTGCACAGAAATAAAAGCTGAGGTGAAGGCTATGAAATATAATAAACAAGTTATAACACTGTGTCAGATAATATTTTCATCTGCTTTGAAGATTTATGATTTTTAAAAAGGTAGCTACAGAGTTACATAATATAAAAGCTTAAAAGCTATAAGCCTCAGTCAATAAATCCTGAATGTTTTTAATATGTAGAAAAAAGGCAGTTAACATATAGTACTAAAGGAGCTATTTGTAGAGTGCAATGCTGTGATGCCATTGTCTATACTTTTCAGTTTTAAAATGGAAGATTTTTATTACAGAGACAAATTTACCTAAAAAAAAAAAATGGTTTAAAAATTTTTGCCAACGTATTTTAATCCTAGTTTACAAATATACTCTGGATGTGTGGAGAGTGACAAGGTGTTAAGGACAAGTTTTATATGTGAATTTAGTGTTTCAGATTCAGTTAACATACCATTTGATAGTAAAATTCAAAATGTAAGTAAAACTGGAAAGCTAAATATAGATAAGAAATTTGACAAGATAAAATTAATGATAAATTGTAAAAATTTTTTCATAGTGAGTCTAATTCTTGGTGAGGTCAGATAAAAATTATTCAAAATATTCGACGAAACATAAAAACATTGCTTTGTTCATTATATAAAACTGCGTAGAGGAAAATGGCTCATCTAAGTCTGCTTTTAGAAGAGTTCCTGCAAATTCATACTTAATTTATAAGACAAAATTATGTTTTTGCTGAAAACTACAGCAGCAAACCTACAAATTAAAACAGATATATACACATAAATGGCTTAATAGTATCTCTTCTGATGTTCTAAAGCTGAGGTACTCTATATTTTCCCAGGGATTAAATTTTATGTTTTTTGAAATACATTTTATAAGTTTTATTGACAAAATGTAGTGTGATATAGGGCCTCAGAACATGCCGTTTAGGTAATTTGAGTAATATTGCCAGTTCAGGATATCAAGCATTAGCCATGGTATTTACACAAAATTACTTTAGTTTTACATGTTTTTCTTTTTTAGTAGATTCTGTGAAAGCTAGAAATTGTTGCTGAAATATTAGAATTCTTACCAAAAGTTATCTTATTAAAATAATTTCTGGTAAACATGGAATGGAACTTTCACCTTTTGGTCATTCACTCCACTTTTACCTGTTACACTTCTTCCTCAGTCTCTTCGCTAAGAAAAACTATGACATATTTATCATGATGAAGTGATAATGCTATGCCTCGCCCTCACCACATTTTGTGTTCTTTTCTGGAATAATAAGTTACTTTTCGTTTTGAATTCAAGGAGTCCAACTTTAGTTTCCTATGACTATCTTTCTGGAGGTCCACACTGTGTCCCTTCATCATTGCTTCTAGAATTTCATTGCAAAAAAAAAAAAAATTCACCTTGGAATATTTTGAAGAAAGGGTAGATGTTTCAAGTATTCTTACACACACACACACACACACACACACACACACACACACACACACGCATGAGCAGAAAAAGGGCAGGAAGAAATTTTGGAGATGATGGATAAGTTGATGACACTGAGTGTGGTGGTGGTTTTATGGTTATTTACTTATTTCTAAACTCACGATGTGAATGAGAACACCACCAAGGAAGCAGCAAGATCACAGATATGGAAAGTGCTTTGGAAAAAAGCAAACAAAGGGCTCTTCTGGTATGTCAACCATGTCTCAATTTTAACCAAAAAAATTATAACCAAGATTACTCTACCCAGCAAAGCTATCATTTAGAATGGAAGGACAGATAAAGAGCTTCCCAGACAAGAAAAAGCTAACAGAGTTCATTGCCATCCAACCAATATTATAAGAAATGTTAAAGGAACTTCTTTAAGAAGAAAAAAAAATCAAAAGTAAGAATAATAAAAGGTCAATAACTACATATCTATCAACAATTACTTTCGATGTAAATTGATTAAATGCTCCAATAAAAAAAAAATAGGATAGCTGAATGAATCAGAAAGCAAAGCCTTTACATACGTTGCCTACAAGAGACTCACCAGATCAAAAGACATACATAGATTGAACGTAAAGGGATAAAAAATATTTCATGAAAATTGAAACAAACAAAAAGCTGAGGTAGCAATACATATACCAGACAAAATAGACTTTAAAACAAAGGCTATACCAAGAGACAAAGAAGAATCCAGTAATCCCACTTCTGGGTATTTATCTGAAGAAATCCAAAACCTATTTCGAAGGGACATGTACACCCATATTTTCATTGCAGTATTATTTGAATAGCATTATCCACAAAGGAGGCAACCAGGGTGTCTATTAATGGATAAATAGATGAAGAGGAGGTGGTACATGTATACACTGGAATATTACTCAGCTGTA